TGCACACCCAATCATAATCCATAATGCAGAGAATCAAACATCTCAATAGAAATAATAAGGGATACATTCCTCATATAGTGAATCCAATAACTTATTAGTATACAAATTTAGGTAAATTCAATATGTAGAATACCAAATGTAAAAATCAAATTATATTCATAATTAGAATTTCGAGTGGGAAGAATCCAATAACTCAACAAATTAAAAATGAATAAATTCAATTGGAAATAAATCAATTAACTATCCAAATATGTATGGAAATGAATTTAAAGTGCAAAATATCGAATTTAATAATCAAAGTGTGCTTTAACCAAGCCTGGAGTGAGGGAGACACCGAATGATCAAAGGCAAGTTATTGAAAAATCAAAACTTTTACGAGGCAATATAGTTCCCTATTTTAACCCCGACACACAAACACACAACATCATAAACTTTTTCACAACCTAGATCTAACACCAACAAATGTAACACCTCATACCCGATTATGAAGATTAACCCGGATACCTGAGCTTACATTATATTCCAATTATGTTGGACAGAACAAAAACCCTAAACATGTGCGATAAGTGAAAGCAATTTAAATTTTAAAAATACATCACTCAACACGTGTCAGTAACCAACAAGAATAACAATCACAATATTTACACGATTGAATATCGCGAGATAAACATCATTCACAATGTATAGGTAATTTGGATATTTCACACCACATACTTGTTCAAGTCAAATTCTCATCTTAAAGTTACCAATATTCATCATTACATGTTAATTAGTGGCATACAAATTTTTAGGTTATTCGGATATCAAACAGGGACTTAATTGAACATGTTTAACTTAAGGACTAAAATACAAACTTTTCAAAATATGAAAATAAACCAAAAACATGAAATTTAAGGTTCAAATATGAAATCATTATCATTATATGGTCATATAACAAATTTTAACAAAATTTAAGTTGAAACGAATCTTTAATTGCAAAATCATGTTTTGGACCAAATTGAATACATTTTAAAGTTCAAGGACCATCCAAGGACTTAGGGTACTCTTTAGGTATTTAATGAATGAATGTTTACCAATTTTTATCGAAAAAACAATGAAAGGATCGATCCTTTGCAAAACAGTGGCTAAACATTCAAAAGGGATGAATCCCCTTTTCAATGGATTGGTCATTTTAAAAAAAATGATGGATTCTTTTTCAAAGGGATCGGTCATTTTTCACGAAAATGCAAAAGATTGATAAAAAAAATGCAAGAACAAGCCACCAAACTCCCATACAATCAATCCTAAGGTCTATGAACATGCTTGGACACACTTAAACCACTTAGAACATGTCAAACACATATTTAGCATGCTTCACAACATCAATTAACATACAATTCAAACATTTGGCATGCAAGATCAAGATTTGCATAAAACGTCAAATTAACCACAAGTCATATATCCATTTTGTACATTATTGGTAGTTTCATGCTTCCTATGAGTCTAATGTATTATAACATCCTATTATAACTTGTCTAGGTGATCAAAACAAGTATTTTAGACAAAAATCATACTTTGACCAATTTAGGCATACTTAGTAATATTGTATAACATGCAATCTAACATCCACATTCATCATTCCATTGTTCATTTAAGAATCAAATTACACATAGGTCATTGTAGGTCACTTATACATAAGCAAGTGTCACAAGAACAAATCAACTTAAAGCTCAATTAAGGATCCCATATTGCTTCAAAGTAACCAATGCTCAAAATAACTTTACAAATACTTCATTTCTTTTATCACCTCCAAGTGCCTTGCCCTTAAGCTCTCAAGTAAAAAAAGTAAAGATCTAAAAAATATTAAACAACGAGTGTGAGCTTTAAAGCCCAGTGAATGACTAAACATTCAAATATGATGCACATGCCAAGGCTAAAGGAAAGCATACCTAAATGCCATGAAACCTTACTTGCTTTTACCTCAATGATCATACCTTAATGTCAATCTACAAATTTCACTTAGTGCATCATAAATCCACACAAAATCCATATTATAATCATACTTTAAATCATTATATGCCTTGTCGCGAATCACATGCACTTATGCACAATTATATTTTTGGCAAAGTCACATATTCCACGTACATTGTTTCAATTAAATATCAATGGCCTTTGTTCAAAATACAACTTATTCATTGTATAAATTAACTCCATACAACTCTCATTTTATTTGTGGACTCATATAGTTCCAAAACGACGCAGAGCAAAGCTCAACGCCCAACCTTACCCTTGTCTTATCGGAGCATAGCTCAACACACCAACTGAACCTCGTATAACCTGATTACACACATATATAAAACACATAGAGTACTTTTTCCTAGGAATGTCTTTCATATCCAAAGGTCCCATTAAGAACAAATAGCAATTTAATCCAAGTTACCAAGAGCGATTGTCAATGATGCATAGTTTTTCACATAGATTGATTTAAACTCATTTTGAAACACGATCATAATTGGTTGTCATGATCAACCCACATTATGGACAACAAGATGGTCGACTCGTCTAATCACAAATTCACATTATATATAAATTTTTGGAAAACATTTTGAAAATTTATGCATCATTTGCAACGCATCGCATTCACATTTCATATCAATTGTATATTTCCAATTCACATCCCATGAATCATAATCTTCCAATACATCATAACTCATAGTCACCATGTCATAACATATATACACTAACAATGATCACATGATTTCGTTACATCATAACTTATATTCAACATGCTTTAACACTCATGCTTGCATATAACACTTGCTCCCAATGTATCATGAATCATAATTAATACATCATAACTCATAACTATCTCATTCAATTTCTTTCACTATATTCTTAACTCATAATCGACATGCTTTTATACACATGCTAACAATGATAATTCACTTTCAATGTTCCATAAGTCATGTCACAAGATACGATGTTCACATTGATCGCATTCTTTAATCTAAACATCATGAATTCACACAATAAATTATCAACAACAAGTATACTAACTTAGAACCTAAAAATAATTGTTCACACATATCTAAACCTTCATTCAACATTGAACAAGTTCATCATAAGTGAATGGACAGCCACTCACCTCGATGTCGCAACCACATTATTCGAACCCAAACGCTAACCAAATAACCACCAACTGATGAACCATTTTTCACCAATCATTCACACCTTAAGAACCTTAAAAATCAATTCAACATGTCACAAAAACATCTAAAACTGAGCATAAAATTTTGCTTTTAACAAATAACGAAAATCGACACTACTTTTCCCCAACAAATAACAAAAATCAAGCCTCTGATCCAATCGACACTACTTTTCTCCAACAAGAAATGATTCAGAACAACTAATATCAGAATCTAAACTCATATAGAACCCTCTCAATTGACATCAATTAACTCTAGTTCCCAGATTTTCGAAAAATGTCAAAATCAAGCTTGTTTTGAAGAATTCCACATCGAAATCAAATGAGATTGAAAAACTGATTTAGTATGATAATAATATTATCAAAAACACCTTAATCAACCCAATAAAACATTAAAAAGTGATCAAGAAAAATAACACAATAAATACCTCTGGAAATCACTTTTAATTCACAATTTCTCTTTGAAACAATTGTTCAATTAAAATTATCAATCACGTTTAATCATTAATCGTTGAAGCACAAAAAGAACCAAGGAAAGAGAATTACCTTGCTGGAAAATGAAATAAAGAAGAAGATCAACAATGGAAACACCAAAGAGATCAAGGAAAATCGGCAAAGAAAAAAAATGAGAAGAAATAATCTTGATTGAAGAGAGAAAATCAAGAAGAAATGAGTAAAAATCAATAACAAATGCATAGAAAATGAAGAAGAGTTTCATCCAATAGAGAAAACTTAAGAGAGTTTGGGAGAAAATATAAGAGTGTTTGGATGAGAGAAAATGAAAGAAACGGTTAATGAAAATTAGAAATGAAAATAAACAAATATAAGAGAATGAATATAGATGGAAAATTGGTAAAAAAGGAGATGAATGATACAATTAAGAAAGGAGGGAAAAACCTTCCACACAAGCTTTGGTAAAATAAGCTTCATAGATTTTCGATTTGTGATATTTTACAATTTAGTCACTAAAACACAATTTCCAATTCATTCAATTTAGTCACCTTGTAAAACCAAATTTTAAATTCCCAAAAATACAAATCAATATTTCAAACTATTTAAATCACTTTAGAAAATATTTTTCAATTAAAAATATCGATATTAATATTTTTACCGAAAAATCAAAAATTAACCCAATGACCGACTCAGATTTTGGGATGTTACAAGTATGCTTACTACATCGAGCTATGGAATCAATATCAACTATCAATCCCCCGCATTACGACATTACATCGCTAGACCTATATTCCGATCATTCTCCCTATCTCCGAAATTACGAAGCAAATGGAAAACCATATTTCACGACATCGCAAGAGGGGGGAGAATGGGAACAACATCAGGCCACATGCGCCAAGTCCAAGTCCAAGAAGAAAGCATCATCTTCTTCTTCTTCTTCTTCTTCTTCTGTTTCAGCATCTGCAGATGAAGATTACTATTATGCATCTAATACTAGTAGAATTGGTTTCTATCATCCATATCATACTTCAACCGAGACTCGACTAACTTGGGTTGAAGGTTCATGAGATGCATCGCAACACACTCAAGCATCTTCGACAGAACATGCGGGTGAGGGTGAATGGGATCATATCATATATGGTCAACAAAGTAGCCAAGTCGAACCAGTGACGACAATGATGGCGTCAAATACCATAAGCTCATCACTATATATCCAAGGTGGATCTCAGAGTGTGTTAAGTACACCTCCTCGACAATATGAAGACGATGACGATGACGAAATCAAGGCCTACGACCCCGACATACTCGATGAGCCCCGCGCCATTATCATTTGACAACTCCTCGGCATCGTCAAGAATTTAGAAAATATAAATAAATTTTCTTTGTAATTTTTCTGTAAACAATTTATTTTTTGCAATTATTTATTTACTTTATATTTTTTTAAAATATAAATAAATTTATTTTTCTTTGAATTTTAATTTTTTTTTAAATTTTATCCACCTGAACTAGTCACCTCGAGGTGATTAGTTCCAAGTGACTGTTGCATTTGCCTGTTGACCAATGGCTACAAAACAACTAATTTTTTTTTTAATTTGAAGGAAGAGATGATGAGTTCCTCTATTTAAAAAAAAAAATAAAACTTGTAATTTTTTTGGTAATTTTATAAAAAATACTTTTTTAATGGTGACGAGTCGCATTAAAGATATTAAAATAATGACTCGCCTGGAACCCACTCATCGAGACCATTAAAAAATAATATCCAAGGAAAATAGTTTACCCGCATGGGTTATTGGGAAAAACCCCCTTATAATTGTATAGGAGTGCATTATCTCCAAGTCAAATCTAATACTTAGTTAATATTTACAACATACCATATATGGGGTAAATTGTATTTAATAAACTATTAATATACTAATATATAATATAATATATTTTTATTTTCATTATATATAATAAACTATTAATATAATTAATTGAATTCATTATTTTTATAAATATATTATTTAATATCTAATATATATTAATAACTTTTAATACAACTAAAAGTTCAAAAGTTAAATTAATACAATTAAAAATGATAAACAACATTACTAATTTAAGATAATTATGAGAATAAAATTACTCTCTGATACCCGAAATAAAATCCCCAACTTTCTCTATACAACGTTTAAAAAATGGACAAAAAAGGGAAAGACAAATCTGATTTTAACTCTCTCAGAAGGGGTCAGTAGCATTGCTTTCTCATAACGAATACCAATTCATAGCCATTATATTTGAAGACATTAAACAGAAATAAATCTAAGTTTATGGTAAAAAAGAAATTCAAGAAAGATGATGCTATCAGTCACGACGTACATTCATTTTCTATCATTTGGCGAACTTCATTAACAACCAAATATGCTTTGTGGCCACCAATCATCTCAGCCTGTTTCTTGCCATCTCTCCATAACTGTAATAATAAACACCATTATCAGCTTCAGAACAAGTGCCCCACCAACCATCATCAGATACCACGGATATGCCTTCAATATGTGTTGGGCACGGATACTTTTAAAGGAAGGAAAAAAGGCTTTCTGGAACATAGAAATTATGTTTTTCAAATAAATAGTACTAACCTGTATCGTTGGCATTTTCTGGAAAGTTGTCGAATCGAAACATGCATAAAGGAATAATCAGTTCAGTCAATCATAATTTCATAACTATCTTTATACAGCAGATCATGCATGTCTTAGAAGAGATCCTACGGTGGGAAAGTATACAAACAAGTCCGAAATGCAAAAGAATATTCAAGGATACGATTACTGTATGTTAGATGCTCCTTTCTCTGTTCGAGATATCCTATGGAGGATATCCTCGTATATAGATCCAAAAGAGTCAAAAACACAAATATTTCGAGAAAAATGTGTCTGATACACGAGTTCAGAATCTAATGATTGTGCCCAAAATACTGGAAAACAAGTTTTCAAGATCATAGGCGATTGCTATTCTATATTTTGCATTACGCAAAGCAAACAATTGAATGATGTAGCATAGCAGAGTTTAACTACTGAAAGCAAAGTTCTATAGACCGACAGATTGGTGACGCAACTGTTTGCCACAGTCACGTGACACTTACCGTGACTCCAGCAAGAGCGACAAGGTTGTGCGGAACGGAGTTTACATCTACACAATAAAACCGCAATCTGAACAAACCATTCTAAGGAAGATTAATCATCTCAATAACCAAGCCAGCTTGTTGATATCATTCACAAATAACTTCATTCAAGAAACAAAATCTACACAATATAAACTATTTTTGATACATATGCAACATGATAGCAGAATTGGGACATACATTTTAGCCATTGGATATCTAGGGCTGCAGAAGCAACAGATAAAAGGAAAATTGAAAGCAAAGTAGTAGGAATTGATTAAATTGAAGCATTTCAGTAGCCTAAAAAAATACTGCAAAAGTCAAAGGCAACAAGAAATTTGTATACCTACGCAAAAGTTTAAACATTGAATTTAGGTACTACAAGATTCCTACTCGGCTCCTCGTACTTCAATGGCGAATTCATCAGCCAACTAGAAAGATAACACAATGAAAGGTCTAATTGCAAAACGTTGGGGGCTAACTAAGGAGGAAGAGAATTGGTTCATAGTCGGATTTTATTCGCATAAGATGAAGGAAACAATGGAAGGATGTACTTAAATAAATCAAAATCTCCCTAACCAAACCCTTATTTTAAAATATAAGAACTTATATGAATTCAGAAAAGTGGTTGCTCGGCTCCATCATCTATCATTCGTGGGAACAAGGGTTTGTAGAAAGGAGCCGAGTATATGAACATCATGAGATGCTGAATTCCTCTAAACTAGCTGTAAACTAGAGATTGTTAGTTTTCCAGTTCTGTGGTATGATCAAAAAACAACTTTTTTACACAATTAATAGTGTTGAAGATTTGAGAAACAACAAGAAAGGTACCTTGGATGGTAATCAGCTGCCAACTTTTCCAATTTCGGTTTCAAATATATACATTTTCTGCACCAGCTTGCCATCCTACAAGTTCAAATAACTTTGTTTTACAATCAAACTCGAAATATCGGTAAGAAAATGAAGTGCTAAAACATGTTGATTTACATTCTGCAAAGAGATAATCTTTTTGGACATTAATTTCAACTGAACAAACTGTATTGGTTGTTTTAAAGATGATAAATTAAACTTTGCAACAATAATATCTTCATCCTACATTATTTCGGACTCTTCATTTTTCTCAACACACATGTTTGACACCCATATCCAAAACATATTTGAAGGTGTGTACGGAATATGATTGTTCAAAGAATTCCTTCAAACAAGAAAAATCTTAGAAAAAATAGAACATGCCTATATTGAGCAAGTACCCAAATTTAAGAGTTACACCAGAGCTCGTATGCCATAGTCTTCATCTAAGTTACATCAATATCATAAATGAGAATTTAAGATTGAACATAAAATCAAATTCTTCAGGCAAAATTAATAAATTACAAATAACCGAAAGGCTCTACTTTTTTCTCGGATTCCGGTGAGAATGCCGAATAAGGTTATGTGTCCAATATGAGAATGTTTAATGCCTTAAAATTTTTCTATGCATTTGAAGGGTCATATCCCCCTACGAACATTCAAGTATGTATCGGACATGGATACCTTCACTATCTGTGTTATCAACCCACATAATGCTAACTGATCTCATTAAATGGAAACAGAAAGATGTTTCAAGCTTAAATCTTGGGAATGGCGGATGAAGTTTATGGGAAGGGAAAATATTATCCTAATGCTCAACGTATATCTAAATATGAAGGAAAACATTAAAGAATTGATAAAAAGAAATCCGATTCTCAACAAAGCCTTACAAGCGTTGACTGGAAAAATTAACTCGTTTTCTCGGATTCAACAAACAGCAAAAGGAAGTAGACAAATTCATATAAAACCAAATTCATATAAACTACCCAGAAATATGTACAAACCAAAGTATAATCAAAGACTCCTCAAGTTGTTCAGCTTCGGCAATAACTCGATCAAATTGACTCTCACTGCAAATTTGCTGCAATTCAATCGTCAATGGCGCATCATCCAACTCTTCCAAATTCCCTTCTTCTCTCCAAGCACCAACGATTACAAATTTACCCCCAAACCCATTAATTTTTCCATCAAAACCCAAAGCTTTTCTCTTCAAAGAAAACCCACCAAAGCTTGAAGATTGGGTTTTCAAGAAGGATGCCGAAAAACAAGGTGAGTTGTCTCCAGGAGAATTGGAATTGATCAAAGTTTTGAGGGGTGGGGAGAAGCGTAAGTTGAAGGATTGAGAAGTCATTGCACGAGAGGAAATATTCTTTTTTGGGTGATGATTTAGAAGTTAAAAACTCTGTTCCAGGATTTTCATTTTGAATGATGATACTTAAGATGGGCAAACATCAAATAAGCACCGAGATGAACTGAACTGTTTATGCTGCCGATTGGGCTTTTCCTTCGCTTTTGTTGCATAAAAGCCCTTTTATTAATTTCAGCTGGCCATTTAGTATTTTAGTTGCCAAAATCTAATATTATGGCCTCATAACCTTGTATTTTACACTCATGTAATGTCCCAACGAAGAATACTATTTTTGAAAAAGTAATATAATATTACAAATAGCGTGTTCGTAATTAAGGATGTGTTTGAATTATAAAATATATTATTAGCTCTGATATTAAAATTTTTAAAATATAATATTGTTCAACAAAATGTTATATTATCTTATTTGATTTATTTGGTAGGAATACAAAATTGTAATTATAGTTCGGGTATGGTTCAACTCAATATATATAGAGAGTTAAGATCCATTTACACGATATAAAACTCTTTAGTTTACACAAATTTAAGACCGTCGGATGAAAGAAAATAGATGGTTGAGATTAACTCCTTGTTTATTTTCAGTAAATATCTTCACATTTTTTACTTTTAATCTCAATCATATATTTTCAATCATCCAATGATTTTAAATATGTATAAAACTAAAGAGTTTTACATTGTATAAGTATATCATAAAAGTAGGAAATGTGAAGATATTTACTGGAAAAAAAATAAAAAGTCAATCTCAACAATCTATTTTCACTCATCCAAAGGTTCTAAATCTATGTAAAACTAAAAGAATTTTACATTAAATAACATGATCCTATCTCATATATATAGAGGTTGATCTTAAAAATACGTAAAATTTGTTTTACATTATTAATTTGAATCAACTCAAATCAGTAAGCCATTAAACTTGACACGGATACAACACAAGAGTAATTAAAATACAACATAATATATAAAACGATATGTAGGTGGAGCAAATATACAAATATCTTAAACTATCAATAATAAAAATTGTTAAATATTCAAATTTATAAATATAAAATATTATGAGTACAAAGAAAAAATGCCTATAAACTCATCTTCTTAAGTACCTTTGATTCTTAGAAATTTCAGATTATTCACTCTTACTATATAGTAAAAATACCTAAAATTTCATCTTCTTAAGTACCTTGGATCCCAAATATAGTAAAAAAATAAATACAACCTTTGATCCCGGCCATAAATACCTCTAAAAACGAGTGATGAGGCATGCCTCAAGTCGTCGTAGCATCGAACTAGTTTGGTTGCCTAAAACAAAATCTACTAATGTTAGAAGACTCTCAACTTGCCCATTCCTTTTGGCCTCCTAGATAACATTGTTCCCCTAATATCTAGATACTCTCCTTTTTCCCCATGTGAAGAAATGAAACAGTCTTAAGATCTGCAGATTGTACAATGTACTCAAGAGTTCTCCAACATACGTGTCCGCCCAACCGGTGCAATAAACCTGAAAGACGGCCTCTTGTTACTGTCATTTGGTCAGTATGGCTGTGATAACTTTAAGTGTAGGCACATGTGGCTAGGTGGCATGACAGTAGAAACGCTGCTTATGACATATATAAAATTCCGAACGGTTTTTGTCCCATAAAACAAGCTAAGGGTGCTAGTCTGGATCGGAAGTGAACTGGTTCACCTTATGGAACCATTAAATTTACTGTGGATGAAATGGTTCCAAGATGGGGTGTCCTAGCAAATGGTTTTTTTGAAGAACTATCAAAATCTGTGGGAGAAAAATAAAAGAAATGCAAAACTAAACAGCACAAACAATTCATATTAAATACTGTAACAAGGATGAGTTCACAGTATACAACTCTCAAATGGTTTTTCGAAAAGAAAATAAATAAATTAATAACTAAAATAATTAGTGAAATGAAATGAAAACGAATGGAGTACCTGAATTATACTGCTTTAATAATGGCAAATTGAAACATTTTAGTCACAATTCTTCGGAGTCTTGCTACATTATGAGTTCTCCATGATTGTGAATGACAGGGATGTGGGAAATGTTGGGCCAGTCTTTGCCTTTCTCCTTTTTGCAACGTTTTCTTAGCAAGGGACAATTGTTAATGGACAAATGAGAAATAGAGGTAAGGAGACTCTTTTCCAGCATGGATTGGAGCTTCGGACAGCTGTCGATAATCAATTCCCGAAGAGAGGCGAGGTGTTGAAAGGCCTTACTATTCAAAAACTTGAGGATTGGAAGATCGGAGATGGTGAGAGATGTAAGAGAAGAGGGCAACATATGTTCATCTGGAAAACACACTATCTCTACTTCTGCACCTGAGAGTTCAAAACCTCTAAGTGAAGTGAGTGCCTGCAAACCCCCTGCTCTCCTCATCATGCTTGCAATTAGCTTGTCGGATCTTCCGATTTCAAAAGTTTTTAATTTGGAGGATAAACCTTCTTCAGGAAACAACTCTATTTCTGGACAATACCGTATTGACAAATGCCTAAGGGATGGGAAGAGGGAGCGCATTTGCTCAGGCAATGATTTTAAAGCCATGCAATTCCAAAGTGTAAGTGAACTCAAATTGGTAACAGATAATCCCTCTTCAATTTGAAAAGATATAAAATTAGTGCAATGGTAGATATCCAAATAATTAAGACACGTGACATGCTGGTGAGAATCCTTTAATGCACGAATCGACTTCAAGCCTTCACATTCCCAAATAGAAACACGATTTAGCATCGGAAATGATCCCAATGGAAAAGATTCCAGTTTATGACACCGGCCTTCTATGACCAAGGATTCAAGGAATGCATACAAGAGGATTTTTGAACAGTCCAAGACAGAACACCTTTCAATGTTCAATTCTTTAAGAGTAACAGGTAGCTTACCTTCAGGAAGGGTTCTGAGATTAGAACAACCCAACATAGTTAACTTTTCAAGACGACTGCAGTGTTGCACCATCTTCTCCAACATGTAATCATCAATATTCAAATCTTGAATTTGCAACTTTTGAAGCCCATAAGGCAAGGGCTCCAATTGCAGTGCATCACATCTCCGTAAATTAAGTTGGCAAATGCTAGTTGTCCTCGGAAGCAAGCTTCGAAGCTTCTCACAATTTCTAATCTCCAGTTTCGTTAAAGACGGGAGGTGTTCTGGTAGATTCATTGTTAGCATCGGACAATCTGTTATGCTTAGCTCTTGCAGAAGGCAGAAAGCTTCGACTTTTAAACAAGACCACTCTTTCCACACCAGCATATCCTCAAATCTTAGAATTTCAAGAGATCCAAATGGTTTAGTAAAAGACTGATCACTTCCATAGAACTCATCACCAACTGTAACTACTGCACTAAACCCGGAAATAGAGAGAGATTTCAAAGATGGCAATTGCCCAAGCGGTGGCATGGAGAGGCAAAATTTGCAACCCCTTAAGTGCACAGATACTACATTTAAGAATGAAGAATGTCCCACCCATTCTGGAAATCTCATACCTCTATAAAACCCAATTAGAAGATGCTCCAAGTTTGTATGAGGCTCCAGTTGTTGAAGCACTTCTTTATCATTCTCAAATTGTCCAAGTGCTTCACTACCATAAGTATGTTTCTTCCATAGAAATTCCAGCTCCTTAAGATTAATCTTATCTTTCAAATTGACATTTTTGGCATCCCTTGCACATGCAACATTTTTTAAACCTGAAATGGCAAGTCTTCCATGTAGATTCTTGAGCTTTCCCAATTCGTTAATACTTGAACCATTTTGCTCGCCTAAAACAAAATCTGTTAATGTTCGAAGATCTTTCAACTGACTCATTCCTTTTGGCATCCCTGCTAATCTTGTTCCCTTGATATTGAGATAATACATATTGATCAGTCTCCCAATGTCTTTAGGCAGCTCAACAAGCTTACTACAACGAAACAAGATCAACATTTGCAAATTATACAATGTACTCAAAGAATTTGGCAAACTTTTAATTGAAGTTCCTGATAAATTCAAACTACGCAGATGCTTCAACTTACCAATTTCTTTTGGTATTTCATTGATATTGCAATATTTAGCCAAAGAAAGTACCCGTAACCTCGATTTGGCTATCAAATCATGCATTATGTCATTGGTAACATAAGAATTCCCAGGCAATGACTTTAAACTCAGGAATGTACGCAAGCCTTTGGCTTTAGGTAAAGTCTCAAATTTCTTTCTCACATCATAATGTTCTTGGACATTGGATAAATGACGTGCCTTTTGATTTATTACACAAAAATTATCACAACCTTCCAATCTCCAAAAGAACTCTCCAGCTACAAATTTAGCTAAATCACTGACAAGGTCATGCATGACGAAACAAGATTTATCTGCCCTGAATTGGTGAAAAAAAGATCTCGATGCTAAATCTTTGAAGTACTCTTTACCTTGTTCTTCCATATCTTCTTTTGAATTGAAATGCAGCAAAAGATCTTCAGCCATCCACAATCGAACAAGTTCTTCTTTCTTGAACTCATAGTCTTTCGGGAAAAGTGAACAATATGCAAAGCAACGCTTCAAATGAGAAGGAAGATAATAATAACTTAATCTTAGGGCTGGAAGGATACCATCTGTTATGTCCCACAAATTGTTGTTCGATATTTTATTCCATTCATCAACATCCAGATTACACCTTAGAAGACCTCCAAGCGCTTTTGCTGCTAGAGGGAGGCCTTTGCATCTTCTAACAATTGCTTCACCAACCATCTTCAAATTTGGATGCATGCTCGGGCTTGTATCAACAAATGCATGTTTTGCAAATAACTCCCAGCAATCCTCATCGGATAAGATATTAAGAGGATAAGTTGGAACCGTCCTCATAATGGATGCAACGTTTTCACTGCGAGTAGTTACAACAATCTTGCTGTTTTTCGCCCCAAATCCGAAAGGACTTCTCAACTCTTCCCAATCAACATATTTCTCATTCCAAACATCATCCAAAATGAATAGAAACTTCTTTCCCAACAGCTGCTCTTTTAGTTTAAGTTGAAGCTGGTTTAGATTGTGACTCGCACTACAGCAAGAAGTGATCTCTTCAAGTAAGGTTCTGGTTATTCTGAAAGCATCAAATTCTTCCGAAACACACACCCAAGCTTTGATGTCAAACCACTCATCCACCCTCTTGTCATTGTAGACCAATTGTGCAAGGGTGGTTTTACCAACCCCGCCCATACCCACAATTGGAATCACATCTACCTGATTTCCACTAGCGTTTTCTAAGCACAACAGCTTAATTATTGCTTCCTTTTCATTGTCTCTACCATAAACACCGGATTCATCCACTAAAGAAGTCGCAGCGGGTCTTTGAAATGCCTTCTTACCTCTATAATATTCTTTCAAACCCAGAGTATCCTTTTGGTAGACTAAAGATTCTAATCTCTCAAGAACATCTTCTAACTTAGAATCCATGCCTCTATTGAAAGGATTGAAAGAGGAAATAACGCGATTTACCTTGGTTGAAGCAATTTGATCCTGGGATTCCAACCTGATTCGAAGAACTTCAGTAGCAATTTCGTCGAATAGGTCCTCTGCATCATAAACAGCATCTTTAAGCTCAGAAACCCAATCTTTGACATTTGGGTTGGTTATCTGCTTGTCTTCAGCATCATCCAAAACTGCTTTAACAGACATCAGCATCGGCTTCAATTTCTTCACCAAACCCTTTTCCAGTTTCTTTCCCCTAACGAAATCCAGGAGTTCTTGAGACGCCATCCTATCGAACAGAACTTGAAGTGATGCAGAGAGAAATGCCCCGCCAACCAAGGCCACTGCCATGTCTTCGTTTTCGAATTTCGAAGGTAGGATTTGAGGTAAATAGATGAAAGAAAAGGAACAGTTAATAATATCTTAGTTCTTGGATAATTATTCACTTCCGCTTCCCTTTGAATGAGATGTGAACTGCTACTATTTTCACGTTTGAACTTTGAAGTCACGATGTGGTAACGGTTTTCACAGGGCATTGATTGTCAAAGTAGAAGGAAATTACCAAAAATATTTATCATAAATAGTTAAAGGTTAAAATATACTCTAAGTCCATACACTCTTCACATATTTTATAATATAATTATTTTTTTAATAATTTGAATTAATTTTCAAATTAATTTTATATAAAAGTAAGCCATTTTAAAAATTAAATATTTCATTATAAAATTAACTATTATTCACCAGTATAAGATATGTCTCAACAATTATTTGAGAAAGGCTTAATACAAAAATAATTGTATAAATTATACTTAAAAATACAATTTGGTGTCTAAAGAATTTTTTTTAATAAAAATAGGTATTCACCGTTTTCTCCGTTATATTTTTAGGTGCCTACCTTTATATTTTTAATTTTTTTAATAATAACAATATTTTTTTAAAAAAAAACTCCCCCTCTCTCTTCTCCTCCGCCCATGTTCTCCTCCCCTACAAGCGGACAAAGGTCGACTGCTACGACCGACAATCGACCGTCGCATCCAATCAAATGGCCAATTACCATGGTTAAAGGGATTTTTAGGGATTCAAAACCCTAAATCAAAATATTTCATTTAAATTTGTTTTTAAGTGTTCAATCGGTTGTGAAAGCATGGGGATTTTTGTAGTGGGTGGTTGGTTGGTCACACGTCGTTGAGTGTCCGACTGATTGACAAAGTTGGTGGCGGCTGACGGTGGCAAAGGGATTAAAATTAAAATTTTAAAACTTTTGGGTTTTTTTAAGATCTGAAAAAAATTTTAGTTTTTCAATTTGCGCGGAAATAGTTTAGACATAGTTCTCCTGACCTTTGCGAAACTTGAAACCACTCCAATTATTCTCAGTCAAGCCCTTGTGACAATTAACTCGAACACCATGACCCTTAGCACGAACAGTAGAAGTATTCATATAATCATGTTCGATAATGAAAACCTTCGAATGTGAGCCCTTCGAAACCGAGGGATTATGTTTACCCACTCTCGTATTCTGACTTTCCACCATCGATTGATCCGACTTCTGAGAAGCCTTCTTTCTCTTATCCGGGTTGGATGCTAAGTACGCCCCCATTCCGATTTGATTCACGTATTTCACCCTATGTAGCCCTGGTGTTGTCAACAGTTTTAACAGCCTCCGCCCTTGGTTGTTGTTCCGGATTAGGATCAAGATTTTCTTTAGCAGTATCCTCAGCGTTATCGAGCCCTTCCAAAGCAACAAAACGAGATCTGGACGAATAATTCAAAGAATGTTTCCCCGTAGCAGGGTTAGGCGCAGATTTTTGTCTTCTCTTTTCAACAACCATCCACCAAAAATATTAGACTCTGAGATCTCCAATTAATCAGACGTATTTGCAGCTTTATAGGATTCAACGTTATTCATACTATTCTCGGCATAGCGTTAGAAGCATGACAAACCTTCTTGCAAGGATGGAGTTAGGATTTCACCTTGAGGGGGCAAAGTATAACTTTTCTAAAGTTAAGGGGCAATTTCATAATTTTCCCATAAATATTTAAATTTTATATATAAATTAAATGTAAGAAAAATATTTTTGCTGGGTTGGGGGGCCACAGCCCCTCCCACCTCCTTACTACTTCCGTCCCTGCCTCCTTGGAATGACCATACACGATAAAAGCAGTTAGTAAAATCAAGAAGAATTGCTAACCTAGAAAACTTACCTCCTCCCTCCGCAAAATCAACGAGATAATGCGTTAAATTTTTTTTTTCACGAGATAGTGCCCTCGCCAGATTAATTGCTCAGATGGGGTGATCTCTACAGTCCCAGGGGTAGGTCGCCATGCACGCCCAGCGACCTACCAGGTCACCATGCACGCCAAGCGACCTAGGTAGGTCGCCATGCAATCCATGCAGCCCCCAAAGGTCGCCATGCAGTCCATGCTTAGCCTGAACAATGTTGGTGGTTTAGACATGGCCCTTTCCTTCTACCCTGGGTGTGCAAATGATCCCAAAAACCCAAAGTGGTGGGACCATTTACATTGCGCCATGTCTCATTACAAATTCGACCTCGCAATTGAAGCATTTGCCAAGCATGGATTGCATGGAGTCTCTGCATGGCTGTGCATGGTGCATGGCAACGTGGCATGGGTCTGGGCGAGCTTGGAGTCTCTGCATGGCTGTGCATGGCAGCATAGCAACGTGGGTAGGTCGCCAGGGAATCCCAGCGACATTGTAGGTCGCCAGGGCATCCCAGCGACATTGTAGGTCGCCAAGGGATCCCAACGACCTATGCCTTCGCCCCAAGCTCTCACGTGCTCTGCTGCCTCTGCGCCTCTGCTCCCATGCAGCGTGAAATCAGCTGCATTATTGCAGCACTTATTGCTGCATTATTGCAGCCCGTGAACGTGAATGACTCGGCCACCTATAATTGAAGCAAAGTATGCCCGGTTGTTGTATTATATATTGGATGGATGGGGTTAATGAGTGAAACAATTAAGAGAGAAAGAAATGGAGAAAATAGCAAAGGAGAAGATAGCAGAGAAAAGAGGAGGAAGAAAGGGAGAGCACAACATCGAGGTAGTTTTTTTTAATTATTTTAATTAGTTCATTATTTTAAATTATTAGTTTGTTAGTTTTGGTTTAAGTTAAACAAATTTTAGTTAATTATTTAATTTGTTGTTTGATGTTATATATTAAAAAAATAATTAATTAGTGTGTTAGTTAGTCTATATTTAATTAGTTTGTAGTTAGTTAAATAGTTAAGTTATATTTTGTTGTTGAATTTATATTATATAAAAATTAGTTTATTAGTAGTTTAAGTTTTATTATAATAAAAATAGTTATTAGTTTTAGTTATATAAAGAATATTATTTAAATTAGTTTATTGTTATAAATTATTAGTTAATTAGTTTATTATTATAAATTAGGGTAAAACAACAAATTAGTTAATTTTTTAGTTTAAGTTATATTATTGGTTAGTTTAAGTTATCATATAGAAATAAAAATTATTTAATTAGCATGTTTGATAGTTACATATTAATAAAAATATTTAGTTAGTTTGTTAGTCGTTAGTTATATATAAAAAATATAATTAGTTTGTGTAGTTAAATAGTTAAGTTATATTTGTTTGTTGAATTTATATTATATAAAAAAAATTAGTTAATTAGTTTTTTAGTAGTAAAGTATAATTAAAATCATTTATTAGTTTAATTTATATTAAAGAATAGTTTATTAGTTAACGTTATATTAAAGAATAGTTAAAGTTATATTAAGTTTATTATTATAAATTAGGGTAAAACAAAAATTAGTTATTAGTTTTGTTAGTTTAAGTTATATTATTGTTAGTTAAGTATATCATATAGAAATAAAAAATTTAATTAGCATGTTTGATAGTTACATATTAATAAAAATATTTAGTTAGTTTGTTAGTCGTTAGTTATATAAAAAATATGTAATTAGTTTGTGTAGTTAAATAGTTAAGTTATATTTGTTTGTTGAATTTATATTTAAAAAAAATTAGTTAATTAGTTTTTTAGTAGTAAAGTATAATTAAAAATCATTTATTAGTTTAATTTATATTAAAGAATAGTTTATTAGTTAACGTTATATTAAAGAATAGTTAAAGTTATATTAAAGAATAATTTGTAGATTACAAGTTGGTCCCAGGTTTGATCAGTGCCTTGATTGAGCGTTGGAGACCAGAAACGCACACGTTTCATTTGACGTGTGGTGAATGTACCATAACTCTGGAGGATGTGGCATTGCAACTCGGGGTCCAAACAAATGGGATGCCAGTGGTAATGTCACATGAGTTTAATAATGTGGCACAACTTTGTAGCTTGTTTCTTGGGAAAACGCCCGTACCAGCAGAGTGTAAAGGGTGGCGTGTGAGGTTGTTATGGTTGAAGAATGAATTTCAGCTTCAACCAAATAGTACGGAGTACGAAATTATATATGCAACACGAGCATATATATTACAGTTGATTGGGGGTATTTTAATGCCGGATAAATCCGGTATTTATGTTCACACTCAATATCTTCTTTTTTTAAGAAATTTTGAGAATAGTAGGCAATATAGTTGGGGATCGGCGATATTGGCGTTCTTGTATCGTGAGATGTGCAAGACGTCATTGGTCGTGAATGATAATAATACAGCAGAAATCGGTGGATGTCTGTTGCTGCTACAGTCATGGGCTTGGCATAGACTTCCGTTTCTGACACCGATTAGTCGGACTGCGGTTGACTTTCCGCTTGCCGGAAGGTAATATGAATTCTCTATTTTAATATAAAATATTAATTATAAAATAAAAATGACCATATTTTTGTTTTGATTGATATACAGATGGAGGCATAAAATTGAAGGCACGGGGTTGGTGCACAACAACATTAAAGAGTTCAGGCTGAAGATCGACATTAAGGCAAAAAAAGGAGGTATGTATAATTTGTTATTTTTAATTATTATTTAAAGTAACTATATTATTTGACTTAAATAAATTTTATTGTTTTTGTAATTTTACAGTTTAATTGGAGACCATACATGAATGAAGAAATACTTGCGTTGATACCGCACGATATTTTAGATGGGTTTCAATATTGGTGTGCTGTTACACCATTGATCAATTTTGCGTTTGTTGAGATCCAATTTGGGGATAGAGTGTTGAGGCAATTCCACTTCCACCAACCTATTCCGCGGAGTCCATGGGATCATGACCTCCTCCAAATCTTAGATGGTCGTCGTCAGGTGAATTGGGTTGAGACGCATGACCAGCTGCACAGATTTTGACTTTGAACACATGTCAGTTCAAATGCCCCCAACGAATGAGGAGGATGGGTACCATACTCCTGAGCAACCGCAACGGCCACAACGCATCAGACGTCCGCCCCAACATTATCATTCAACAACACCCCGACATCGGCAACAATTGTAAACTAGTTTGTTATTTGTTACAAATTTAATATTGACAT